GTGTGTATGTGTATCTATGTGTGATATATATATATATATATATATATATGTACGTATTTATTGTTTTATATAAAAGGTTATTCATACTTTGTGCATCATCATTGGTTATCAAAAAAATAGAGGGTGTGTGGAGGATGATATGCACAGGAAAAATGTTTATCACAGAGACACTGTGATGCACTATTTGGCCACCAGAAGGTTTTTCAGTAATGTCACTTATTATGATTCTGGTCTAAAGAAATTTTCCACTTATCAGGTTACCATTTATCTTGGAATTTTGTCTCTGTTAGGTAGTTTACTAGCAAAAGCAGTAACTGTTGTGACATTGTTACATGTACATCTATTTTAGAATCAAATGAGTTCAGTGTGCTCCAACGTTCTTAACACACAACCTTTTGCTGTGATTACTGAGCAGGTTTAAGCATCGAGTCTCTTTATATATGAGAAACCTTGTTGTGACCAAATCAAACATCACAGTGTCTCTGTCATAGACACCTTTTTTGTATAGCATCCTCCACCTACTTTTGCAATGCTCCAACAATAATTCTCAAATTATGAATCACTTAATTCCTATATACAGAGTGTCCCATAGAGAAAAATATACAATTTATTCTTAATTTATTTATTATTCAAATTGCATACCATTAACAGCCATACACATATCAATTCTGGTATACTGTGCCATCAGGGTATTTTCTTTCCTGAAATATGTACAAATAACATTAGAAATGCGTTTGTTTAACTTTAAGAGTATAATGTCTATATTCCGTATGGTTCCAGACTTCAGGAACACCCAACATATTGAAATTAGGTTGCTAGCAGATGAATTTCTACATTGGCCTTTCCATTGACTGTTATAAATTTTTTATCCTACTCTGTATACAGTAAAATCTACCACATTATTTTTGGTATTAATGGCAATTTTTATACTTGTCTATAGTTAGTCAAATAAACTTATCAATTTTGTGTTTAAGTATCATGACTGATCTAGTATATATATATATATATATATATATATATATATACATAGGCAATGGAAAGAAACAGAATTTATCTTTACACACCAAGTGTTACATAAACTTTTGTCATATGTATTTATTTGTAGGTTGCTTAGTTCTTATGAAAATCATCATTTAGTAGCTAAAGCAGCAGTTTAGCTTTTAAGTTGGCTGACCTACATGCCCATGAGCTTTTATGTTTCTGTGTTTACTTGTTTGAGCAGCTTTGTTAGTTTTGCAATTAAACATTTTTACACTGAAAAAAAAAATCTTTGACAGGAAAAACAGTAACATATATATAATTTAACTTACACTAAACCCTGGAATTTTATTATTAAACTTAACTGTTAATGCTTTTAATTTATGTTGTTGCTTATATTTCAACCATTGATGCTAAATTGTTGGTTGAATGGCTTGGCTGATAAAGACTTGTGGTATGTAATGCTACAATTGGTATTAAAAGCAAGATCTGCCTTATGGTGATACATATGTATGTGTTAAGTCAACATAAGGCTGAAAATGATTATAATTTCTTCATGTATGTGTCATCATGCTAGTTCTCTTAAAATTACCCTTGTGTGTAATTATGAAGCATGGAATTAAATGTTCAGTATTGTAAAATGTACTTAAATATATCTTTGCAAGTAAAAGTATGCATATAATATCCTATAAAACTATCTTTAAACTAAATACTTTTGGCTTATTTTCAAGTCTTTGTCACAGTTTTACATTTTCTTGACTCTGTTAGGTAATAGTATTAAACTATACAGCATGCTTTTTGAAAAGATAAAAGCATTTCTGCCAAATACAGTGACAACAATTTAGTTTGCATTACGTATGCAAAAAATGAATTAACAAAGAAAGTCAATTTATTTCAGATGTTAGACTTTCATGTGCAGTGTGCCATGCAACATTTTAACCATCTGATAATTATTTTGAATACTTTAAACTATGCTGAGAATTAGTTGTATTATACATAATGTATATGTTTTGTTTAATACAAATGGTGAAGTTAGTCAGAAAATCCTGCTATTTATAGGTCAACAACAGTTACCAGACACTGACAGAAAAATCTATACAACAGAGAAAAGTCAAGTTTTGGATGATGGAACAGTTAAACACAGTATCACAACTGTTACTAAGGAAACTGTGGTCCATGGTGAGAAGTGATTATGTTTTATGAGCAGTGCCTTTTATTTTGATGTTATGAAGGCAATGGTTTAATTATCATTAAAAACATTAAGAGCCAAAGGAAAGAATTTTATGTTAGTACCTTACAGTTATTTTTCCCAAATGAAACTATTTGTAATATGTGAATGCTATTTAATTTATTTCAGTAAAATGTTGAGATTTTGTTCTGGAAATGAGATTGAATATATGTATTCTTAATTTTGGGATGATTTTATTTTACACACTCATTATCCAAGGTCAGAAAGTATGTTTCATATGATAGCTTATACCATTGCAGATAAACAAAACAACTGATTGCTGGATGTAGATGGAAACTGGACAGCCTTGAACACTCATTTGCCATGAAAGAGTAGAAAGTTGTGTGTGTGTGTGTGTAAGGAAAATTTACACAAAATTGTCTCTCACACTTAAATATATATATATATACATTTTCTATCCTCAACTTAGCTGGACTAACGAGAGGTGGTATAGGAGATATAGCTTGGAACAATAGTTCTTATCTGGTCATTAGTATAGGATTTGTTACCTACTGTGAATATGTTTCATATTGCATTGTCAATAACTGTTTTATTTCTATTACTCTTCAGCACACTCTTGTGTGATAAAGTAAGGTAAAAATATGCATAGAAGTGATTATGGTTAAATATCCGAAGGGTGAACTTGACTGGGATCAAATAAGTGTCATTCTGGTCTAATAATGGTTTTTTCTTTTCTTTTTTCATAGCTCAATTAGCTTGTGTTCTATCAAATATAATTTGTATTTGATCACTGAAAATATGATTGGCTTCATTTTCAAATGCTCATTTTTAATATGATAGTATTATTTCACTTGTCCTCAAACATATTCTTCCTTTAAATTGCATTTACAATTATTATTGTTATGATAAATTATAACTTCACTTTATTTTTCCAGAATCACATGCTTTTCTAATAAACAGTATTTGGTTCTCCTTTTGTCAAGCCCCCCAGTGGCACAGCGGTATGTCTGCGGACTTACAACGCTAGAATCCGGGTTTCGATACCCGTGGTGGGCAGAGCACAGATAGCCCATTGTGTAGCTTTGTGCTTAATTACAAACAAACCTTTTGTCAAAATTAAAACTTGATTAGCAAATGAGATTTCTGATAACTTTTTTTTAGAAATACTACTCACCTCTTCATAGAACTGCCAAATATTTTTTGAGCACGTGCCAAGAATTTGAACAAAAATACCACCCATATGTGTAATAATGTGCTCTGCATCAGTCTATGTTGCAGAAGCATTAGACTGTGGTCCCGTACCAAGAGGAGTGTGATACATCCTCCATGTACAGTACTTTCCATAAGCACTTTGTGTATACCAAAGGCTTATTCTTTTCCTCGGTACTGCAGTGTTCAGTTGTGTTGTTTTTATTAACAATTATGGAATATATCATTTTCAGCTTTTTATTAACATTTGAAGCATTATCTTTCTTATCTTCACTTTCTCAGTTTTGAGAGAGAAAGATGCATATTTATTAGTTAATTTCAGTTGGAGCTTCTGATATGCATTATTATCTCTTTTTATATTTCTTTGATTTCTCTTAATCATATACATGATTTTAGAACATGTGTTCTAGAGTTTGTGATACTTTTTTTTTACAGGAATATTCCCTATCATAACTAAACCATTCTTTGGATTTTGAAGCCAATAATTAATTTCAATTTCGTCAATACCAAAATGACCAAATCATAAATACTATGGACATACCAGACCTCTGATAAAAAAAAAACAATGCAAAAATGATAAGAATATTAATATTTTTCATGAATTTAATTTCATGGAGCACATTGAATCAATCGTCTCATGTCCATATTATTTAAACCTCCTAAGGTTCTGACTCTCATCTGTAGGAGTTTTTTTCTTCAATGGTAACTGGGGTTATTCTATCAGTGATTAATGTTTCCACCATTGTACATCACATGACTAGTTCTATCATACTTTCTTCATCTCAGACCCAGGTTTCATGGCCTACTGTTTCTGTAACTTCTGCTGAGCCTGCCTTTCCTTTGGACAAATCTAACCAACTCTTCCCCAAACCTACCTTTACTTCTGGTTCTTCTATTCCTGACAAGGATCAGTTAACATCCACCTTTCTCTTTGTTGCTGTAATAATTCCGGTACATGCTATTTATTCTTTTACTCCAGTTGTTTTTGTTGATTCCCAGGCAAGCTTCTTGCATACACTTCTATTCATTACACTGAGTAATGCTTTTCCTGTCTCCACGTAGTGACATGACACACTACATGAATTTTCTCTCTCTATCACCTTATGCTCAGAAAGGAGCTCGTCTTTTTAATTTCTTTCCGTACACCAGTTTTTTATTCTCAATGTGCGATTCTAGTTATCTTTTCTGTGGAAAGGTGAGTAGCATTCCTGAATTTACCATTTTTCTTACTTGAAATTTTATTTTAGGTAGATACTCATCTCTCCACAGAACCACCCACCTTTCTTCCCTACTTCTGGTATGCCTCTTTTGCCTCATCAAGAATGAGCTTTTGGTACAAACAAAGTGTTAAAGTGCAATACTGTGCATGGATGTATTGCTCTAATATTGGTGGAGAGCTATAGTTTAAAGCTGATTGCATCATATATTGGAACAGTAAATACTATTAAGTGTAGGTTTCTAAGAAATCTCAGAGTTTTCCCTTCAAGTTCTAAAATATGGGTTAATGATTCTTTATTTATAAGTTTGAACTTATTGCGGTCATTAAAAATGTCAAGCATTTTCTTTAGTCAGCTTTGTTGGGGATAACAACTCCTTTGTCCAGTTGGGTGATGATATTTTTGTTTCAGGAGAGTATCATCATCACGCGACCAGACAAAGGAAACTGAATAGTTATCCTCAACAGAGCTGACTATATTAAGAAAATGCTTGACATTCTTAATGATTGCAATAAGTTCATACTTATAAACAAAGAACCATAACCCATACTTTACAACTTGAAGGGAAACTCAGAGATTTCTTAGAAACCTAAGCTAAAGAAATGCTATTTCTGATTGTGTTTACAACTGTTAAGTGTAGGAGTTGGATTTTCATATAAAGGCTCGGCACATACACAAAAACGTTTTAGCAGTAGTACAAAGTATTAGTTATTTGTTTTATAGAGAGGTGAGTATCAAACTGCGATACATTTTCTGGTAAAGAAAATGTTAACTGCATTTTTTGAAATGAGTTAATGTCCATAAAATCTTCTAAAGACTTGTGTTTGAAGTTGCTACAATAACATAATGCATTTTGTAAAGATGACATAAATAGGCCTAACAAGAATTTAACCTAATTTATACATAATCATTCCTTGTTTTGTTGTTTATAGTTTGTACTTGTACTGGTACTTTATCCTAAGAACTGGTTGACTTATTCTTTCCTTTGGGCACTTATGCAAACCCTGTGATAAAACAAAGTAGCCATAATATATCTAACCAAACTGTTGTTTTATTCAAAGCTATGTGAATGTAATTCTCATTTTTTTCTTGCACTTGCTTTGTGTTTATTTAATTTTGTCTATAGTAAATATGTGGACAGTTATTTATTTGTAACTTTACACATTTTTATTTTTGTGTGTGTGTGTGGGGAACAAAGTTCTGTTTACTATGCATGTAAATCTGCTTTAAATAAATTTTTTTTAAGACTTTATAATCTGACTTGTGTTTTATTTATTTTTGGTTTCTTAACTAAAGTTTTTCTAAGAATGTTTCAATTTTATTTGATTTAGAAATGCTATAACCATAAAATTTGAAAAGACTGTGTTTTAATAAGTGCATTTTAAACTTCAGGTTTCTTATCTAATGCAAAATACACAAATTTGTTCCTTAGTATTCACATCTTCTTCTCACTTCATATGGGGTTGGGGCATCTATTGATCCTTCTCTGTTTAAATGTATTGTTCACCACACTGTGGTCTACTTGATTATGGTCCCCTTTAATACAACTCACTGAGGGTCTACTTGTTTACTGCCATCTTTATTACAAACCTTCCATCTCTTCTTTGGTCTCCCTCTCTGCTGCTTGCCTTTCACTTTCCTCTGTTGCCCATTCACCAAACTTTCCTCACCCATTTTTTTAAAATGCCTATACTGTTTCAATCTAATTCCTGCACATTCTCTCTGATATTACAAACTTTCACCTCCTGTCTAGTTTTTGTGCTTGACTTGTGATCTCTCAAAGTCACACTTTTAATGCATCTCAAGTACCTCATTTTTACCACTTCCAATATTTTCTGATGAAATTCCCTTACTATCCAAGTCTCTTTGCCAGATAGCAGAGTTTTATACAAAAGCCTCTTAATCTTCATTGGCAATTGTATATCATCCCTGCAGTCCTGCATAATATTTACATTTTATGTTAGCAAAAATATAAAAACTTGTTCTATAATATTTATATTTTATACTAGAGAAAATACACAAACTAGTTCCATAATATTTTCATTTTATACTAACTAAAATACACATACTTTTTTTCATAATGTTTACATTTTATAGAAACAAAGGTATTTCAAACAGCTCAGTAATTTTTGCTGTACACTGAAGAAATGAATAAGTTTAAGATGAAGAAAACCTTTTTAATGACTTACCACATCAATGTAATGAATTTAAACAGTTGTTTTACTAGTTTGGTGTTGCACTCATTAAAAATACATTTGAACTATAAAATGATAGTTTTAACAACCATCAATGTTAAACAGCTTAATAATTACATCTGTTAAGCAAGTCTGATAATGTAATTTTCTACATACTCCTGACAGCATTGAAACTAACTTATCAAATTAAAACTTAGATAGCAAAGAAAGTTTTAGTTAGAGGTCTATCCTTTATTGTTTTTTCAATGAAATTCCGTTTAGTTAATTTTTGGCACCTTTTGAATCACTTCTTCAATAACTTTAAAAGTACGTTTTCAGGGACAAAGTGATAGGAAGCACATTGCTTGATTTACTTTTGGTTTTCTTCAT